TGTTTTTCCACAGATGCACACTTACAATGAAACTTGCATAGCAAAGGGCCTCCTGACAATAGTTTTAGATGGAGAATTGATGAGCATTTTTCTTAGGGAAAAAAGGCTGCATGGTTTATACGAACTGAACATTCTGAATTGAATTCATAAAATGGTTTTTTGGAAACTGGAGTTCTCCAGATTTTACTGCCAGAGCTGTGAGGAAAGCACTCTACTTTATGTTCAAATTATGTAATATTTTGTAATTTTGAATTCTGCCTAAAGCTGTTTTTAGAGAACCCATGTTTTAAGGCTTCTCAGGGAAACCAGACAACACATTCCATATTTATTTATTCATTCGGGATGTTGGGTTGAACACTTTCTATGAGCCAGGCACTGGGCCTGGAAAGGGATTATGACAGTGACGAATCAGATATGATCCCTCCCGCAAGGAGCTCACTTTTTAGAAGGGTAAGAGATATTAAGTGATTGGTTAATATTTTTTAAAAATTACAAATGTGAAAAGTGCTACTGAGGAGATGACCTGCCAAGAGAGTAGGAGTCAGGGAGGGGAGGGAGAAATGGGTATAAATAGAGTTTCAAACAGCTCATGAAAAAGGAAAATGAAATTCTTTTTTTTTTTTTAATAATTTTTATGTTAAGGGGTGAACATGTTCTTATCACATGGATGAACTGCATCATGCTGGTCAGGGCTTTTAGTGTGCCTGTCACCACACTTATGTACATTGTACCCAACAGGTAACTTTTTGCCCCTCACCCCCCTGGGAGATGAACTTCTAAGAGACAACAGTAAAGAAGCGTGAGGGGTCGGTGACTGAGCTACTGAGATCAGCCCTGGTGGCCCAGGACTCCTCCTACCCTTCAGGTGCAGATAGAACTACATGCACAGTATTGCCCATAAACTACGCACTCAGTATTTATGACCTGAAGAAACGATTCATGGACATGTTACAAAATATATCTCAAATTTTGAAAAGGTATCAGAACGATTGAGGATCAGTAATTTAAGAATTAGGAGGAAAAGTACATTCAGGCATCTCATTGGTGTTTTTTACATTTAGATTATTCTTTAGAGTGACCTGTTTTTGAATGATGTGATAATTTGTTGGTATAGTTCTCAAAAACTAATATGCCAAATAATTAGAAATAACTATCTTTAACGTTTGAGAGACTTCATTCCAGATATACATAAACACATATATAAATAACATTCCAGATGTATCTATACAGGGTGGCCACGGAGTCTGTGTGCAACTTTAAATTGCACACAAACATTTTGGATATCCTATATATCATATATGGATATAGAAAACCTATTACATCACATATAAATCATTCTAGATAGGTATAGAAATGTGCAGACAGATGGTGATTGACAGAAATATTTCCATTATAATGGGTATAACAGGCCAGGCCCAGTGGCTGAGGTTTGTAATCCCAGCATTCTGAGAGGCCAAGACAGGTCGACTGCTTGAGCTCAGGAGTTCCAGATCAGCCTGAGCAAGAGCAAGACCCATCTTTACTAAAAATAGAAAAATTAGCCAGGCATTGTGGTGGGTGCCTGTAGTCCTAGCTACTCAGGAAGGTTGAGGCAAGAGGATTGCTGGAGCCCAAGTCTGAGGTTGCTGTGAGCTATGATGCCACAGCACTCTACCCATGGCAACCAAGTGAGACTCTGCCTCAAAAAAAAAAAAAAATATATATATATATATATATACACACACACACATTTATAAATGGTGTAATTTCACACACTCTACATTAAATTTTATTTTACTTAAATGTATCTGAAGAAAAAGAGTAAGTATTTCCTTCTATTCTACTATCTCCCTACTTCTGTATTAGTATCCTTTTTTTTTTGTCACAGAGTCTCACTTTGTCACCCTCAGTAGAGTACCATAGCATCACAGCTCACAGCAACCTCAAAATCTTAAGGTTTAAGTGATTCTTTTGCCTCTGGCTCCAAAGTAGCTGGGACTGCAGGTGCCTGCCACAATGCCCAGCTATTTTTTTGAGATGGGGTCTCACTATTCCTCGGGCTAGTCTCGAACTCCCGAGTTCAGGCAATGTATTAGTTTCTTATTGTTCGCTTTAATTTACTTATAGGGCAAACCCTTGGTGGGGCTGCTGGGAGGGGATTAGTTCATGGTGGAAGAGCTGACATGAATGTGATTAGTACTTGTTTTAATTCTGTTCAGCTGTCCAGGCTACTATAACAAATTATCTTCAACTGGATAATTGATAAACAGAAGTCTACTGTTTATAGTACTCGAAGTTGGGTAGTGCAAGATCAAGGCGCCAGCAGATCCAGTGTCTAGTGAGGACTCATATTCTACTTCAACATAGCTTTCTTGCTATTTGTTACATGGCAGAAGGGGTAAGTAAGCTTCCTCTTATAAGTTTATGGTTTAAACGTATACGTCCCTCCAAAATTCACGTTAGAACCTAATATGGTTCAAACGTATACGTCCCTCCAAAATTCACGTTAGAACCTAATACCCAATGTGACTGAATTAAGAGATGAAGGCTTTTAGGAAGTGATTAGGTCATGAACGGTCTGCCTCCATGAATGGATCCATTGGTCTTATAAAAGAGGTTGGAGGGAGTGATTTTTTTTCTCCCCCTTTTGGCTTCTGTGCCCTCCACCATGTGAGGATACACCCTTTATTTCTTTGTGAAGATACCAAAACAAGGCACCATCTTGTAAACTGGGAGCATGTCCTTACTGCACCCGTTGCTGCCTTGATCGTGGACTTCTGAGCCCCCCAAACTGTGAGAAATAAACCTTTATTATTTACAAATTACCCAATCTAAGGTATTTTGTTATAATAGCCTAGATGAAGACAGGCACTAATCCCAATTATGAGGGTGGAGCTATCATAACTAAGCAAATCCCAAAGGACCATTCAGATGGTTTAAACTTATGAATTGGGGGAGGGGGGTCATAGCAGTGCCCTTAAAAGAGAACTCAAAGAACTAGCTCACTGGTTCTACCACGTGAGGACACTTTGAGAAGGTGCCATCTGAGAATCAGAAAGTGGGCCCTCAAGGGCAGCACCTGTGGCTCAAAAGAGTAGGACACCTGCCCTATCTGCCAGAGGTGGCGGGTTCAAGTCTAGCCCCAGCAAAAAAAAAAAAAAAAATGAAAAAAGAAAATGGGCCCTCACCAAAGATAGAATCTGCTGGCATCCTGAACTCCCAACCTCCAGAACTATGGGGAATAAATTTCTGTTGTTCATAAGCCACCTAGCTTTATGGTATTTTGTTATGGCAGCCCACACAGACTAAGACACAACTCTTCCTGTTCAATGTTTTCTTGATAATTCACAACTATGTGACCTTCCATATGAAATGTGAAATCATTTAATCAGTACTAGTACACTCATCCCCAAGAGAATTTGCGTATTTCATGAGAATCAAACTAGTTCTATAATTTGACTTGGGAACAGTAGCATATTTTTGATACTGACTACTCATCCAAGAAAACAATATATGTTTTTCATTTCCTTGGGCCTTATTGCTGCCTTTCAGCAAAATTTTATCATAAAATCTTTGTAACTTGTCAATTTCTAAATATTTTATGGCTTTTGTTGCTATTGTGGAGACAATCTTACTTTATCTTTGGTATATTGCTTACAAGAACATTTCTAATTTTTCATTGGCTTACCTACTGTGAGTTAAGCCTCTTATTGGATTCAATTTCAAAATTGAGACACTCATTTTTTTTTTGTACTATGATTTTATTTATCTAAAAATCAGGATGCAAAGTATATGTACATTTTCTAAGTCCAACAACCTAAAATATGAATATATGGAGAAAGACAAAGCAATTATGTGATAAATTTAGTTAAGATGATGAGATTGTGGGGAGCTGTTTATCCTTTTCCTATTTTCCAGGATATTTTAAATTTCAAGTATATCTATAAAGAAAAATAAAAGTTCTCCTAATTTTCAGCCAGAATTTCAAATGTTATTCCACATAACTTCCTTACCTATACAACCATGGAGACTTGGGGACTTCATACATGTGCACACCTGACCCCGCCACTGAGCCTACCCATGGAGGCAGCCACCCTTCCTGGGCGCTTGCTGCCTTACAGCTGATGTAATACCTTTTATATTTGAGAGGTTAGCTCTGGGAAAATCCCTGAACTGTGTAACTTTAACTACACTGAATGTGTCCCAAACTAAGCATTGAGACACCTAGATTTTCAAGGTTTCCTATCATCTGCAAATAATAATGTTGCCTCTTCTTTTGGGGGCTTTTCACTGTTACAGTCAGCTTATTGTACCACATAGGAAGAAAGCTTTTCTTGGCTAGAGTTTAGAGGGGGTTGCTGATTATGTGCAAAGGGCTTTGGTCAAAATGGCCTACCTACATATTCCTGCTCTGTCGTCTACTAGTTGTGTGATCCTGGGACTGGGAAACTTATCTGACCTCTATGGATCTCAGGGTCCCCATCTCTAAAATGGGGATAACAATCGTACTTAGAATTGTTAAGAATCAAGCACTAGTTAATACATTGAATCATTTAGAATGGACATTAAGCCCTATATTACGCATTAGTTTGCATTTATCAAAACCTGTTGCAAACTTTATTTCCTGTAAGCCTCACAACCACACCAGAAATTGCGGCTACCTCCATTCTACAAAAGAGGATACCAAGCTCTAAGAAGCAAGTGCTCTGCCCGGGGTCAGTCACATACAATTTAGGGCTGCCTGACAAAACTAACCCTTAGAAAATAGTGCAATCAATCAAATTCTGCCAACGCGTGCGATTTTAAATCGCACTAAAGTGGGATTAATTCATTCTACACGCTGCTGGCATTTTACCAGAAAAGGATAGCATACTGACGCAACAGCACGAGGCTCCCATCCATCGCGTCTTAGGCTTCCGCCCAGGTTGCCGAGAAGAGCCGAGCGCGCTCGAAAGAGCCCGTCAACCTTCGGCAACAATCGCCAGGGGGCGGGGCCTGTGCTTCGGCACGTTCCGCGCAGGGCATTGTGGGAAGGGCGGCCGGTGCAGCCGCAGCTGCCATCTTAGCGACTCCTTGCCTTGCGGCCTGCTAGTAGCAGGCGGCATTACGGCGGCTGTAGAGCTCGGGAACAGGCGCAAAGTCACCTGGTCGACAGCTTACCTTCCACCAGCCTCGACAGGACCGCCAGCTCGCGTCTGAAGGCGGAGGCGAGAGGAGCCGGGCGCGTGAGGGGGCTGAGGCCAGCGGTTAGTCAGAGCGTCTCCCGGAAGGATGGGCCGGTCCCGGAGCCGGAGCTCGTCCCGCTCCAAGCACACCAAGAGCAGCAAGCACAACAAGAAGCGCAGCCGGTCGCGGTCGCGGTCCCGAGACAAGGAGCGCGTGCGGAAGCGTTCCAAATCCCGGGAAAGTAAACGGAACCGGCGGCGGGAGTCGCGGTCCCGCTCGCGCTCCACCAACACGGCCGTGTCCCGGCGCGAGCGGGACCGGGAGCGCGCCTCGTCCCCGCCCGACCGCATCGACATTTTCGGGCGCACGGTGAGCAAGCGCAGCAGCCTGGACGAGAAGCAGAAGCGGGAGGAGGAGGAGAAGAAAGCGGAGTTCGAGCGGCAGCGAAAAATGTGAGTGCCGGTGGGGGAGGGGCGGGGCCGGGTCGGGCCGGGGGGCGCGGGGAGAGTGCGGGGCGCGTGGCCGGCCCCGCGGGCTGCGGCGCGCCGGGCGCGGGCCGGGAGGGAACCCTTGAGGCCGGAGCTGAGGCGGCTCGGGGCGAGAGCGGTTTTGGCGCGAGAGGCGGAGAATCCCGGAAGTCGGCGGAGTTGAGCGCGGGGTCGCGGCGGCGGCGGCGTCTGCAGGTCCGCCCGCCAAGGGCAGAGAAAGGCGCCGAGCCGGGGGCGCACATCGCGGCTGCCTGCAAGCAGGTCTCCTCAGGAAGCTTAAATAGTCGATAGGGCATGAATACTCTCGGGAATGGGAGAGAATATTCTTTAGATGCCTATCAAAAAATTGCGTTTTCACTTTAGTGTGTTTCTTTTGTTGAAGGTGTCGCGGTTGCTTTTCTTTCCTTGAACCTACACACATTTCCTCTTTTTTGGAGACTTAAAAAACAATACACAGACCTGAAGTGTACAGTACAGTGAGTTGTGACCCTCGAAATCACCTGTGAAACCGTCATCTCAGACCTAGTTTTGCTTTATAACTCCGCTAGCAAACGTGCAGTTTTATTTCTTTTTCTGCTAGTTATTTAGAAGATTCTTGAGTACTTGCTCACGTACGGAATTTTTATTTGGAGAAACTCAGTTACATTAAGGTTCGTTACTTCGAATACTGTTTACATGTTTCAAAAAAAATCACCTCTTAAGTTTCCCTGGATATAAAAGTAGATGTGGGTAATCTCAAACTAAAGAACTTTTTTTTTTTTAATGTAGGCTTTTTGTGGAGTTTGTTTTCTACTTTAAGATCATGGTACCCTAATGCTCTGGGTATCCCCAAAGCTGAATTGAAAAGGACGGTGAACAGGTGCACTAAGTCCTTGTTTAACCAGCCATCCTTGTTAAGTTCTCTGAATGTTCAGAAAGTGCTTATGGGGCAAGAATATCCCTACATTTATCACTTTCCTCAGACAAAATTATGTGTGCTGAATTGTCTGGGGGTTTTCTATTTTCCTGTAGTTGCATTGTGTAGATTTCCCAGCACAGCTTGTTCCTAAACCAAAGTTACTAAGAGATACTAAATTACAGAGGAAGCAGTTATCTGGAGTTGTTTTGCTGCCAACATTTCCTTTTAAAACATATGCAACTCTTTCACTTTTTTTGTATGTAAGACAGTCTGTAATATATTTGAAATCAAAGTTTAAGTAATTGTTTTACATTAAACCTTAATTATGTAGAATCTTGCTTTTTGATCTAGAATAATGAACATATCAAAAATGTTACATCCCGAGATAATTTTCCATCCAAAGAATACTTATTTGACTTGCAGTAGAATACAAAGACTTTTAGGAAAAATGAAAGGAAACTTGGTATTCAGAGGATGCTTAGAAGCACTTATTTAGCAAGTATGGATGGATAGCAGAGAAGAAATCTAGGATGAGCTGATTGAGAATAGAGTGGTGTCTGGCTCTAGGTTGAAAGAAAACTGCTATAATTGTTTCAGAGGGGCAAGGGGGCAAAACTAAACTATTGTGTGCCATGCAGTAGGCAGTGCTTAATAATTTCTAATGTCTTCAAAATAACTCAAAGGAAACAGACATGAGGATTGGAGCTTTGGGAATAGAGCAGCAGTTCTCAACCTGTGGGTCGTGACCCCTTTGGTAGTCAAATGATCCTACCACCAGGGTCGCCTAAGACCATTCTACATATCAGATATTTAGATTACGACTCATAATACTAGCAAAATTACAGTTTTGAAGCAATGAAAATAATTTTATGGTTTGGGGTCACCACCACATGAGGAACTGTATTAAAGAGTTGCAGCATTAGGAAGATTGAGAACCACTGGAATAAGGGAAAGTCCCTAAGTGCCAGGCACTGTGGCAGGTGCTGTCAAGATAAAGATGACTGGTCTCTCTCCAATATCTTAACATTACTAGCTTGAAGACAGATAATTAGATAGGTATTAAGTGTAGTAAACTGAGTGATAGTAATATAAATGTGTAAAGAAAGTATCCTAGGTGGATGAATACTTCAGTTGTGCTAAAGAATGAATGGATCAAATAAGAAAAAGAGATAGTCAGACTAGGCATAAGATACATGTGGACCAAAGGAGAGAACCTCCTCCTGTCACTCCTGCCAGAATAAAGAGAATGGGGAAAAATGATCTTAAAGTGGAAAAATTAGGTGGCGTAGAATATGAATCTACAAATATTGCAGTTGTGGAGTGACTCTCGGTAAATAGAGGCTGGGAATGACAGCCAGGTTCTTGTTTGTCATGTTAAGGAGCTAGGATTTCATCCTAGAAACAGGAAGTGTTTCAGGCAGGTAAATGACATATGCTTGTTTGTTTTTAACAAATCATACATTATAGGATAGGAACTAGTTAAGAGGTGGGTACAGAAGTCCACACAAGAGTAGTGAGGGAAGTTGTTTGGATGGAAAAGAGGGATAGATTTAAGAAATATTTGAGGTGTTTTAAATTGGATATGGGACACAAGGGAAAGGAAGCATTCATGTTGGTTGTCTTATAATGTGGCTATTGCAACTCATTTGTCAAATATTTAAGTAAATGCTATGTCAGAAAATTGGTGAATCGTGAATAATGGAGAGGGAAAAGGGATAAGGGAGCTTCCACTGTGAGCACTAGTTTTGGATATACTGTACTGAGTTTATCCAAGGTTGATAATGGAGACTGAAGCCTAAGGAAGGAGGGCCTTTATTTATGTGTCAGTGTATGGACCAGGGAGAGTGTGGAGAGAGAGGAGCAACTGTCCGGGGACTTACCCTCGGGGAATGTCTGTATTTGCATTTCACAGGAGGGAGTGAATGGTGGAAGCAGAAAAAAGATCTTTAAGAATGCAAGATGTCAAATGTACTTTCAAGAAATACTAGGTTTAGGTGGAGAGAGACAGTGAAATAGGAATAGTCTGTTGGGTTTAAAGTTAGTAATTTTAAGATTGGAAATCAGATTGCTTTGTCACTTAAAATTCTGAGGCCTGTATCTGAACTTGTTTTATCTGTGAAATAGAAATAGATACCTGTGTTCTAAGGTAGATCTTTGTGGTATTTGGCATATAGCAGTCTTAATAAATAATGTTATTTAAGAGAACTTGCATATACAGCCAGACTGAGCCTGATGAACTTAAGAAGTTATGTACCAGTTAAAATTTTAATGCTTAAATTAAGTCTTCACATTTTCCCCTCCCCTTACTTTTCAATAGCTCAGTCACTTGGTTCAAAATTCACTTCAAAAAATCTGTTTGTGCTTATCCCTGTATTTCAGCCATTCAGTATAGTTCCTTCTTACTCCCCTGCTACACCACTATTACCATTTCCTTAGTTATTCTTTTAAGATGCTGTAGGAATGTTAAGTATTAACTGTTGAAAAAGTAGACAGCAGAAAATGACTTGCAGCAAATTAGGAAATTGTTAATGGTATAGTAACTTACTTTTGCTTGTGATATCTAGGTTTGGGTATCTTTTAGTGTTCAACTGCATAACAGATTAAGAGCCTTCAAATTACAATCTCTAAACTAGACTGGGATCAGTATGCTATATGAGTGATTCGTAGAACACTTGTACAGCTCATTGTGAGAGCAAAGATGAGCTTTTGTGAGCAGATTAAGTGTATGAATTACGTATTTTTAGAGATTAGGGCTGTGAAGATGAATTCTAGGGCATAGGACTTAACTTATGTTGACAAGAACTTTATTAATTTTCTAATGGTTATTTTGTTACATTTTTGTGCCTGTCTTTACCTCTCATATTTATCCTGGAGAAACAATATAGGGTAGTATAAGTGCTTAAGACATTAGCTTTGGAGTCTTCCTAGTTTTAGAGTAACAACTCCAGAACATCCAGTGAAGTTTAGTCCAGAAACTTAAACTCCTTAGCCTTAGTTTCCTAACTAAAAATGAGAGTATTAATAGCCACCTCATAGGAACAGATGTGAGATTTAAATGATGACATGGTATGAGTTCTTGGCATAGTATTTGGTACCTATTAAGCACTAAATAAATGCTGTTTGCTAGTAATTGATTTCCAGAGGTAAACCCCTAGGATTGAGTTCCCACACTTTAAAAATGTTTTAAGAGAATAGTGTCAGTTGCTCTGTATGGAATAATACTCTTTTTTAGCAGTGCTGCAGTTCTGTACCTTTGCTATGTTGTTTTAGTAGTTACTCCTTCTAAAGTTGATTATGAGTAGTGTTTTTAAAACACCTAAGAACATAAAGAAAATGGGGACATGGTATTTAACTATTTCGGTTGAAAAACTTGAGGATTTTGATTTAACCTAACTTTTTTTTTTTTTTTTACATGAGGATTTTTTTTTTTTTTTTTTTTTGGTAGAGACAGTTTCACTTTATTGCCGGGGGTAGAGTGCTGTGATGTCACACAACTCACAGCAACTTCCTTGTCCTGGGCTTTGGCGATTCCTTTGCCTCAGCCTCTCAAGTAGCTGGGACCATAGGCGCCCGCCACAACACCTGGCTATTTTTTCGTTGCAGTTTGGCCGGGGCTGGGTTTGAACCCGCCACCCTTAATTTAACCTAACTTTAATCAGCACAGATTCTTGACAGAAGGCAATGGGTTCAGCAGAAGAGCCTGAGGGAGAGATTAGAGAAAAGAACATCATGAGGGTGAGAACTCCTAGGGCAGAGGTTTTATGGAGTAGATAGGCTGTTAGATGTTAGATTCATCTTTTGTTAGACACTGTTGACCAAAAGTGTTTGAGTCCTACCTCCCCCACAAGAGCTCTAGTGCATCTTATAGGCATTAGCCTAATAGTGGCTTGATCATTGATTATGGTGATAAATTTGTCATCAATACAGATGGACTTATGCTTAATTCAGTTGTATATGTCCCATTCATATGTGTGTATCGGGAGGGGATAAAGTGATAACTGAACCTTTTGTAGCACTGGTTCTAAAAATTGATTTAAATTTTTTTTCTGATTACAGAAAATTGGTAATCAGCTTTTGTGATGCTTTGTTTTAATTATGAAGTAGCATTTTAAATTTTGCCAAGAAAAACAAAAAAAATGACGTTCTTGCTAGTACTTACAGGGAAGCAGTTTTCCTGTGGTGCCCTGACCTTGCCTGTCTTCACTAGAACAAGTCAGCAAAGCTTAATTGCAGTCATAGTGGGATGCCTTGCAGTTCCTGCAGGAACAAAGGAGAAAGATAAGCTTCCTTGTGAGAAATTCTACTAGATCGGTTCTCATTCTCCACTGTTTGGGTTGAGCTTGGGACTTTCCACTTGCCCTACCCTTTCTGCTATAAAATTGCTGAGCTGTAGTTAGAATTGACTGACTCCTTAGCAGCAGAGTGACCTACTGCCTGTAAGGCCTGTCATCTGGCCCCTTTGGTTTGGTGTGATACAGAAACCAGGACCTGACACCATGCTGATTTGGCTTTTGCTGTAAGTTAAATTTACTTGGCTCATTTTCTCCTTGCTGACAAATCTATGGAAATGTGGCCCTGTTAGCCATTGTGCCTTTGCTTAAAGATGGCTTGACTGCCTGACAAAAACCTTGAATTTATTTTCCCTTTACCAAATTCCCAAGTGAAGTTGGCACCTTTTCTACTGAAAAGCTAACCTGATCTAGGGCCTTAATCCTATTGTTTTTCCACCTTTCCACTTTGTATGGAAAGTTAATTTGAACTGTTTTATATTATTATCCTTTGAATAGTCAGATTAACATTGCTAATTAAGAGTTACATTGTATTGTTTATGAAATTATTTAGAATATTAAGTTTTCTAGGCTTCTCTAACTTTTCTAATTTCAAAAGAACCCACTAGCAAAAGTATGTGGGTGTGTGTGTATACTTTTAAGACCATTATGAAAAGTTTACACACACAAAGGTAGAATACTGTTAGGTAGGGGTTTATAGGCCCTTCATCTGATTCAGCAGTTGTCAGCTTCACTTGTTTCATCTATTATTTCTTTTTTCCCCTTTGGATGAAGTAGAGAAACAACATTTTGTATTGAAATGTGGTTTAATTTCCATTAAAATTGCAGTGTGATTTTCTGTAGATGTTCTTGGTGATTTTTAGTACTAGAGCTTGTATCTGCTCTCTTACTGAGCAGCTATCCATAAAGGCTATTGAAACCGCCCTAATATTTGATTGAAAAAGGAAAGGAGCATAGGCTTTCATGATCTTTTTTAAAACTTTAGTTTGGGGAAGGAGATATTTAAGAGACAAACAACAGTCTTCAGAATAGTTATTGGAAAAATCTAGGACCTAAGGGAAAATAAGCTCTCTTTAATAACTGTCGTCTCCTTGACAGAAGAATGTAGAGGGTAAATGGAGAAACTGAAATGAATGAGAATGATAAAGACATCTTGTTAGTTTGGTGTCACTTGTGAATAAGTAACAGGAGTTGAAAATGAAAATTCTTGGGTGGGAATTGATTGAGTTGAAGTGGATTAGGAACTATAAACAGTCTTTACTAAACAGATAATTTGAGTGACTTTTATGTATGTCATATGACTCAACAAAAGATGTAAGTTGCAAGCCTAATTTTTGTGGGTTGTGAGAATGTTGAAGTATTGATAAATTGACCTTAGGATTTAGATACACTGCAAGAGCCTCTGATTTTATTCATTTAGCACAAATTATCATCTCATAGTGCTATTCAGTAGCAATGTAAACAATAACGTATGCAGTTTAAAATTTTCTAGGGGCTGTTAGAAACCAATGAAATTAATTTTAATACAGTCTCAATCTATCCGTATGTTATTATTATTATAGTACCTAATTTTAAAAAATGAGATCATTTTATTCTTTCTCTTTATAGCAATCTTTAGTTCAGCCTAGACACGTGTGGCTAATGGCTATAGTTGGATATCACTGGTATAAAATGTACGAGGTTTCCACCATGCTACCTTGATAAATGTAAATGTTTTCAGCACAAAATTTTATTTATTTAAACATACTCTGTCTCACTTTGTTGCCCCCGGTACAGTGCTGTGGCGTCACAGCTCACAGCAACCTCCAGCTCTTGGGCTTAGGAAATTCTCTTGCCTCGACCTCCCAAGAACTTGGGACTACAGGCACCCGACACAATGCCTGGCTATTTTTTGTTGCAGTTAGAGCTGGGCCAGGTTCGAACCTACCACCCTACCACCCTCGGTATATGGGGCTGGCGCCCTACTCAACTGAGCCACAGGCGCGACCCTACACAATTTTATTTTGATGAAATAAGTTGGTTTATGATATCAAAGTAGGATTAAAATATGCTTTACCTAACTAAAAATAAAAATGTATTTTTACCTTTCTACTTCCTATATCCAGAGGAGCTTTTAATTGAAAATCAATTCATAAGAGGAACAAAAGGCACAGTAAAGGACATAGTACTCAGAACCTGTTGGTCATATTTTCAGTTAAAGCTGTATGCTGCTTATTTCAGCAGTCTGAATCTCTTCAAGTCTGTATTTATTCTCTTAGTGGGAAGAGGGAAATGAATTTAGCTAGTCTCGATTGCCTGCTATATCATAATTTTTCTGACTTCTCTGTAACTCAACCTTTAGACTGAGTGTATTGGCAAATAAGCAAATTCATGTATTTTAATAGTTTGTCCTCTCATTATAAAGTTGAGAGAAGTAGACTTTTCTGTTTCAAATTTCTGTAGTTCCTAAATTAAATCTAAAGAATTAGGTTGTTTGAATTTACCAGTCCTTGTTGTGTTCACAGTGGGATAGAGAAGAAAACCAGTTTTATATTTATTTGAATTTCTGTATCAGCTGACATGTCGTGGTCATTGCCTTAGTGTGAAGTGAATAATGAATTAACAAAATAATTGAGTAATACCAGGCTCAGTGGTTTATAGACTTAAATAACTAGTTTTGTTTAAGTTATTATTTATGGGTCCATTCATAGCCCAGACTTGAGCTATGTAAAAATGTATGTGTTCCCTTAATATTTTGAAATAAAATTTTTAAAAGATTCTTGTTTTTTTCGTATTATCTAAGACATGTTTTTACATTGTTCCCTAGTCGGCAGCAAGAAATAGAAGAAAAACTCATCGAGGAAGAAACAGCACGAAGAGTAGAAGAATTGGTGGCAAAAAGGGTAGAGGAAGAATTGGAGAAAAGGAAGGATGAAATTGAGCGAGAAGTTCTCCGGAGGGTGGAGGAAGCCAAGCGCATCATGGAAAAGCAGTTGCTCGAAGAACTCGAGCGACAGAGACAAGCTGAGCTTGCAGCACAAAAAGCTAGAGAGGTAACGCTCGGTCGTTTGGAAAGTAGAGACAGTCCATGGCAAAACTTTCAGTGTTGGGTTGTGCCTCCTGCTCAGTTCAGAAAGAGATGGAATACAGACTATCTCATTCCTTTCTCATCTAAACTTACATTGCTGCGAAAGTTAATTTTTTAGCCTATTCAGAAGTGCTGACTGATACTTAAAAGTTACTTTCATAAAACATATTCAAGGATACTTTTGATTAATGGAACTGACTTACATATTTGAGAAGTGTTTGAAACTTTTGCCATGGCTGCAGGACTTACATTCTTTTTTTGGGAGGGTGGGGGGAGACAGAGAGTGGTAAAGGGGAAAGGTTGAAAATCCACCTATGGTTGTATATTCCTCTATTCTGTTTATCACTCTTATTACCTAGACTGTGAGAGGCTTTTTGCCTTCAGTCAGATAAAAAAGAGCAGGGCCTAACATTGAGTGACAGTACCTGCTTTTGATAAATAGGTTTTCTCACTCTTCTTTTTTCCCTTCTTTTATCCCTCATTCCCTTCCCCAAATCCTGCTTCAACACAGTGGACTAATTCTGGCATTCTGATCATAAGGCCCTCCATTTTCCTAATGCGTTTCAAGGAATCTTTTTAGGAAAAATGTCCAGATTATTCATCCACTTTTTTAGTATCTACTAACAACTCCTTTTTTTCTCTAGAGAGTTATGAAGGAACAGGTTGTCCTTGTCTGGAGTCAAGCTAAACACATGATTTGTTTTATCAGCAGCTGGAGCAGAAGTTGAAAATGTCTTTCTGTGATACAGTAATTTGCTACTGAAGCTTTATAGCTTATTAGCACTAATTACTCCAGGATCCTAAAGCTAGGTGAAAGTTACTAAGACACTCAAGGCAAATTACTTCACAGCTCCGAGTGTCCCATCAATATAGAGTGCATGATAAATACGAATTGGTGTGTGACATAGGAAACAGGAAAATGTATTTTCTTGAACCGAAATATTTGACTGAAAAATACATGACTCATTGTCATTTTTCATCTTGGTATTATTATGGACAAGTTGACAATATATTAAATTTCTTTGCTTTCCAGTAAGCTTGGCTTTAAAGTGCATTTTCCCTCGTCCTGTCTTTAACTAGATAAATATGCTTTTATTTATAGTGGATTTTACAGACCATAAAATTGAATGTATGAAATTTTATTTATATCAGTACTTTTAATGAAGATAATTTTTGGAGTAATGGTGCTGTCTTGTAGCGAGTTATTAATCATAGTAAGATTTTTTTCTCTTCATTTGCTTTTTGTTTTCATATTAACAATTTTTTTTTTTTTACACGGACACAACCCTCTGACAGTCTTTCCAAATATTAAAATCATTTGAATTTGTATGCTGTGATCTGAACACTGCCCAAACCATCAAGCAATCTTCATATAGTTTGCATTATAAAATCTCATTAAATTCTCCAAGAAAAAATAAGTTACAGAATTTTATTTCCTGCATCCCCTGGATTCCTGAATTTCAGTTCAGATTGTAGATGACAATATAAGCTGCCTTTAGAAATTGTCAACATCTGAATGTTAAGTCCATTTTCCCCATGGAAGAAGCCCTTAGTTCCATGAAGTATGGATTACCATTTGTATTTTTCACTAACAGTAAATGTATTTTTCTTATTAATTGTTTGCCTTAGGAATGATGAATTACATTTTTTGTTCCTTCTTACCATAAACATCTGCATTCCTCAGCTCAGCCTTCCTTGTATGTTGTTTCTTTATAAATGGTTGAGCTGCTGATGCAGGTATTGCCAAGCTAACAGTACAAATCATTTTAAAGAGGAAGCTGGCGCGTATGGCAGCCGAGGAGCACACTCTGCAGGACACTGGACAAGACAGTAAATATTCAACTTTTAATGCTGATTAAAGGAGTATAGGTAAAGAATACGTAGGTATACATAATTGGTGAGACAAATATTCACTTTATTTATATTTTATATATTATTTTTTTAATTTGGTAAATACTATCCAGTTTTGTAGTTGTCCTTGTTGATTTGTGTGGTATTAAAGTATTAGTTATAATTGCCAGGAAACTATCATTAGGGAGGGTTTAGTTGGTTGCTGTTTGGACTGGGAGGGATGATTTAAATTTAGTGCTAGAAACCAATGTTAGTGGCTGCACAGTTTTATCATTTATCAGACAGAAGGTGGCTATAAAGCTGCCCTGTAAGTCAGATCAAAAAAGTTCAGAGGAAGATTAGTAAGTATTTATCAATAAAAATAAACATTTTGTTTTTCTAACATCTGAACATGTCCTCCCCTTTAGGAGGAAGAACGTGCAAAACGTGAGGAGCTAGAACGAATACTAGAAGAGAATAACCGAAAAATTGCAGAAGCACAAGCCAAGCTGGTGAGTATAAAGCACATGTGAAAAGTATTTTTGCATTTTGCTTTATTTTATTATTACTTTTTTTTTATCATATTTTGTGCTCTATAATTTGACTTATTTCAGGGTTCTCTGGGCCTTTTAAAGGCTTTGAGGCAAGAGTAGAAATTGTTGACTAGATTTTTATCTCTAATTTGCAGAGAATTCACAGTGGTTTAAAACGTGGGGAAATTGTAGTATTTGCTGTCTCAGTTTTTACTGTTCTAACCTCCTTTACATTTATCCTATGACTAAAAACACTAATGATAGCAACAAAAGTTTAGAGAAATTTATAATAAGTAATACACAGCATTTCACTTTGTGTTAGTTGCCTTGTTACCAATGACTAAGTGGAATAAGTACATAGTATATATTTGATAGTAAGTGTATCAGAATATAAATTTTATTTCCTATTTCCTTCTAGGAAGTAGGGAATAGATTAGTTTGTAATCTAACAAGAAATACAGAGACTTAGGTAATTGTATGATAAAGTGTAAATGAAGGTGATGTAAGCAATTTTGAAATTGTAATAAAGAAGCCATTATAAGAACATTGAGGCAATTTAAAGGAAAAAAAATTTATAAATTCTGTATTTTCTTCCAATTTTCTTTTTTAGTATTTTTCTGTATTCTATTTTTAAGCACATGCTAGTATTTTTAAAATAGAATAAAGCTTTTGGTGTCTTGAGGGTCTTTTGAGTGTATGAATATTTTTTGAAGTCTCATGTAAAAGAAGAAAACCTAAATTAAAGGACTATGGATACAAAACAATATCCTAAAACACAGACGAGGATAGTCAGGTATCATAAGGAAAAACTTTTTTCCCCCATGAAGGTGGTATACAAGAAGCCTACCTGAAAGTAAGAACAGATACTAGGTGGAAGGAAATTAACTTGGCAATGGGGAGTATTAGTAGTATTTATAACTCAGGCAGGAAGACATGACCCAGGAAGGAAGGTCTCTTGTTGGCTGGGGGAAAAAAGAAGGTTATAAGCTCCACTTAAAGGTGGTTAAAAAAAAAAAAAAAATTCTGTGGCTGTGCTTATAAATGCACATTAAAAGATTTGAGAGGGCCTAAATTAACACTGACCTTACTGACCCACCCCTTTTGAGAGCAGGGGTGAAGGGGAACCATAGGTGATGTGTCCTGTCATTGATAAGAATGCAAAAAGTTAACATGGAGCAGTTAGTGCTAGATCATGATCTGAAAAGATAGTGTACCCCAGGTAAGAGACAATACTGGAAATATTCTAGTTAAGTTAGTGAACATGGCAGAGTGGATTCTTAGTACATATCATTGTCCTGGTTATCATGAAGGCAAGAATGTTACCCGCATTGGAAGTTCATAAATCTGCTTTCTCAAAGTTAGACTTTAAAATTTGATTAGGTAGGAAAAGCAGTATAAATGTTACGTGGATGAATTATTGTTTGTGAATAAGATACAGTAGTACTTTTTTAGTTATTCTATATAAGAAGAGAATCTTAGTGCTGGTAGGAAGAAGTAAGAGGGAAAGTGTCAATCTTAATTTGAGTTTTGATGTTTTAGCTTTGAGAGGGGTGAATACAGTCTGCTTTGTGAGGCCTGGAGATTCCAGAAGAGAAGGGAAATATGATTAATAGTTTTAAAATATTGAAGCAAAATTACCAAGCAGGTAGAACTAAAATTTTCTCTTAGGACATGGTGAAAAGATGGGATATCTGTGGTGGGTTCAATTTGTGGTTGATCTAGAAGCTCTTCGGCTTAATGTGCTCCACCCAGGTGTTGATCCCTCCGACCTGGGGTGGCAAGGGACATCTTGGCTTCCTTATATCTAGCACCCTTTGTTTACTTACAGGAATCATGAAAATAAAACTTTTGGTTACTGGGCAAATGGTGAGCATAATGTGGAGCAGTATTTCTCCAGTGTAATAAATGGGCAGTTTTTGTTTTTTAATCCCAGTTATGAGATCTTAGAGCTACTTTTGCCAAATACAATTGACAAATATAATTTGATGAATTGCTAGAAAAATGAAGTCAAATTGCTATAAAAGCTTCTAAACACTTGTTTTCTGTTTATACTTTGGATTGACAGTCTTTAAACTCACACTTGTCTCTCGACCACTTGTAAACACTATCACTGTTGGGGCAGACAGATTTAGGTTTGATCTGATAGACTATATATTGTGATGGCATATTGATAAAACTTCAGTGCAGACATGTCTTAGAGAAAAAGAGGCTGGAATTTGAAAGTTTGGTAAGAATTTGAACATATTTAAAGCATTTGCTTACCGTGTTCAATAAAGTTGGAAGCATAGGTAATGGTTGATACTGGAGCAAAGGTTTATTTGGTTTTCTGGGTACTCACAGTCAGGCAGGTGAAATATTCTTTGTGTAGGGTGAGACCAAAAAAAAAAAAATGTTACTGTGTAGGAAGGCAAGGCACAAATTGATATTTCTTTCATATTTTGTGTTTTTTTCCTTCCTCTTCATCTCAGTTTTGAGCACTGTTTTTAATCTTTACACATGTTTACAGGGAAATACAGTAGTTGACCACCTCCCTACATTACTACCTCCTTCAGGTGACTTAATTTTCATAGATAGGACATGCAGTACATATACTCCGTGGAAGACTGACCTCCATATACTTACATTAACCATTTCTGTAAGTTGTATCCATGGGCACTTGAACTGTGACACAATATTAATTTGCACTTTATATCTTCACCAGTTAAGTCCACTCTATATCAAGTAGTAGAAGGTATGAACTTCATCCCTTAGTTGTATTATTTTTTCTTTAGTGTAAGTTATTGCAATATGCTGAGTTAGGCCTAACATCCTGTTATTTATCACATGTTGTGGAAGATTTTGTGCAGTGTGAAGGACTGGTTTGAATTAGGTACATCCTACAATTACTGAAGGTTTTTATAGTTAATTGAGGCATCATGATGCAAAGAAAAGAACTCAAAGAGCTGACATTGAAGAGAAAGACTGACACATTTTCAGGAAAGCAGCAGCCAAAGAAAGATGGCGGAACATTTTGGTGTTGATACGACCACAGTAAACAACATCCAAAAACGTAAACATGAGTATTTGGAGAGATATGGCAAAGAAAGTGGAGACCTACAGGAGACGTACAGTAGAAAAGGAGGAAAACTTCCCTTGATGACGTCAAAGAAGCCACATTAAGCTGGATGAGACAAATGAGGGCAGTTAATGCCTGAATCTCTGTGCCACTGATCTGAGAAGTTGCTCAGAAATTCACACAGGAATTTGAGGTGGCAGATTTACAAGCATCATGTGGTTGGCTTGAAAAATATAAACATCACAACACAGATCCCCAGAAAGTCTTATGTGGTGAATCCATTGAAGATCCAGTAGAAGTTGTGGCAGTTCCAAAAGTTTCCAGATTTCTTCAGAGACTTGAAAGATGACGACATCATCAACTGAGTGCAAACTCTTTTTTCAAGGTGATGCCTGACAGGAGCCTCCTCATGAGGAGTGACAAATATAAGAGCAGGAAACTTTCTAAAGAATGATTCACAGTTCTGCTAGCTCAACAGGAGAGAGGATAAGGTTCTTGCTTGCTGAGTGGTAAATTAGCAAATCCATGTGCATTCAAGAACCTGCAGCCCGTGGATGACTAGTGCTTTATTTGAAAAGTAAGTAGGGTTGTTGAATGAGAAATGAAGAAGAAATCGTCTGTTCTACAGACAGGAGACAACTCTTCTGGCCACTATAAGTGAATCATCTCACAAAAGTGACACTGAAATTTCTGCCTCCAAACATTACCTCAGAAATCTTGCCTCTTGAGTAAGGCCATCATCATAGCATTTAAACTATACTACCTAGGCCAGCTCCCACAGTGGGTCATTACTAAAACACAAACCCTCTAGAAGCAACTTTCTGTTACATCAGTTAATGCTCTAGATGCCATCCTCTACATCAGTTCTGCTTGGAATAAAGTTCAGCCAGAAACAATACAGAAGTGTTGCAAGAAAGTTGGATTTGTCACAAAATAAGAATGTCATGTTTGGGCCCCATGAAACTGTCCATCTCCCATAGCAGACTTTGAAAGTGTAGACTTTGTTACAGTAGATGATGAGGTCGCAACCTGTAATGAACCTGACCCAGGAATTTTCCAAGCTATATGACTGAAATACAGATCAGCATGAAAGTTTGTGAAATAGCTGATGAAGTGGAAGAAGCAAGTGAGGATGACACAGAAATTGTGGAGATTCCAAACTAAGAGATTGTCAGGCATCTGATAATGCAGTTGAAGTCATTTGCTATAGAAAAATGCCCAGGTATGCTGAGTAGTGTAGCCAACATTGAGAGTGCTTTCTCCACTTAATGTTTATAGTAAAAATAAGAAACTGTCCAAAATTGACTCTAGGGTCAATTGATTTGTATAATACATATGGTTTTATATGCTTTGATCATGTGTAATTTTGAATGACATTCTCTAATAAAAGCTGTATAGGAAAGTATATGCATGTTGTAGTACAGTAGGCCAAGTTCCTCATGTTGACTGCCTCTGTTGACCAGTTTGTTACAGATCCTTGGGAGATCATCTGTACAGTACAACAGAGGTTCTACTGTATTGAAAGTCCTGTTAAAATATTAGTTGTTTGCGAAAGAAAGGGGATTGTAATAGAATGTTGTAGACAGCTAAGGGCTTTATGGATATATGTATGTCAGTCATGGTGATTTGTCTTGTTGAATTAATAATTCTGTTTGCTTCTTAATATGCTAGAGATGGGGACAGTTTATTGTTAATTGCCATAGAAAGCAAGAATAATGGGAAGCATTCTATAGAGCCTTTAGTAAGTGAAGGAAAAGGAAGAGATGCCAAACATTACCATTCACCAAAATCTACATTGAGAAAAGAAGAAAATCTACATAGAGAAGGCATTAAATGCTCTTTGGTGTGTTAATTCTGGAAACAAGGACATCTCCATATTATGAAAATATTTGGTCAGTGGTAATGGGTGCATGAGATAATTGACATAATTGCATGGGGGGCACATTTCTTTGCTTCTCTATTGAGGTTGGGATATATTTTGAGGAATTTATTAAAACTACACTTCATTCTACTTCTGTAAATAGTCTTTTATGTCTTTTTTTTTCTTTTAAAGTAGGGAGTTGGTTTCTAAGAGTTTTTTTTTTTTTTTT